CCATTTGAAAAGCTGCAGGTCCATTGATCGCGTTAGTCTACTTTATGAAATAGTTTCTGGGCAAAACGGTTTCACCCACATACACCCCATTGTATAAAGTATCTAAATATACTATAAAAAAATTGTAGATTTTTTTAAATTTCTTGACCAAAAAATCCCCTTAATATAAACATTGAGGATAAAAGGAAACCGATGCTTTGGGCAGTAAAATTAGATCCAAGCAGTTGCAACAAGGAATCCATATGCTTAGGACATGTACATATTTTTCTTGAAATTCAAATTTTGAAATGGTTGCTCTACACTTTGCACTGTATAGGTAACTTTTTCTACAAAAAGCAGTAAAATGTCATTTTTATGGAAATAAACGTGACTAAATTTTAAAAGTTACATGCAACACTTTAAAAACTAATTTGCACTGTAAAATTTTAATATTTTTAGGACATAAATATTTAATAAAAAAAATTCAGTTTTTAAAATGGTGCTATACGCGTTACTTTTGAGCTGTAATCTTTTCTTGCAAGAATTGTTAAATGTTGAGTTTAATAAAGAAATTTTAAACGTTACAAGCGATATTTTGAAAGTTAATTCCGCATAGTTGCATCATAAATATTGTTTTTTTAGGTTATAAATATTTTTTACAAGTGTCAATCTTTTAAATGATATCAGGCACTCCTAATTTCAAGGGACAGTCTTTCTTTTCTCTTAAAATAATAATTTTGTGGAACATTTTAAACAGGCTTCTAAAATTTCAAGAGCACAAAATCATTTAAAAATATTAGTGTGCTTATTTTGCGTAAACCTGATAAGTGTTTCATATTAGCCTTATTCATTGACGATTTATATAACGGTTTCACGTTTTGTTTTTAGGGCATTCTACTTTTTCTATCCATAAATAGGTAAAGACAACATACTTATTTTTTCTCACATTCCGTTGGTTAAAAGCGACAGGAAAAGTTTAGACTTTAGAGAGAGAATTCTGGTGAAATTACCGTACTGTTCGGTAATTCCTAATAAAAAAAATAAAAAAAAGAAACAAACATAAATCTGGTTGATAGAACCGAAATATATGGTATTTAAACCATTCAGTTGATAATTACTCCGTTCATATGGTAGCGATTTACTGGAAATTCTGGTTTTCAAAATTATAGTTTTATAGTTCTTATTACCACTCAGTAAAAAATACAAAATTAAAAAGTAAATGTAACCGGATAAATTGTTTTTATGTCAGGCTTTAAGGTATCATGATAAAATTACAAAATTTTACCACATTTACCCAATTTTATCACACAATATAAAACCATATTTTGTCAAAAATCATAACCAAAGTGCTTCGGTGAAATTATCTAGCTTTTTGGTGCTCCCATAGAGCTAGAAGCACAGAAAATTTAACCTCATTCTAGTAGTTTTGACCATACTTTTTTTCTCTGAGTAAATTCTTTAGAAAAGTTTCATAATTCAGATTTAAAATAAATTCAGCTGGTGAAATCACTAAAATTTTCCCCGGTATGAATTAAAAGTTAATTGTTTTAACAAACACAAAATATATGGAATTACTATTTGAAAAGCAAGAAACTAACATAAATTTATATTTGAAATACCATTGACAAAAATTTTTGATTATTGGCTGATTTAAGTTCTAGAAACTTTTAATAAGATCTATTTTAAGTTTTGTGGGAATGTTGAAAAGGTATCATCTTGAAAAGGTACCCCCACATAGAGTCGAGTTAACATGTCTTATATACTAGTGAATTGTAATTGTAATTTTGTTGTGGTAGATACCCTACAAGTTTCTCATTTCAAAATCTTTGAAATTTCAAAATTATACAAAATTTGCCTTTTTTTACTTGCTTTTTTTTCATTATTATTTATTTATTTTTTACATTTCATTAGCTTTATTTTCTGACAATCCCATTCTTTGTTTATAGTAAAGCTATTCCTAAATAGTTATATTCTAATAATCTCCATAAAAAATTAACCATGCAAGCTTAAAAAAGCAATCATTAAAAAAAAAGATGGATATGGAGATTATTTGAATATAACTTCTAAGAAAATTGAAATTATTAGTAATTTATATACTGATAATCTCCATAACAAATAAGTTATACAAGCTTAAACAAATTCATAAAAAAAGCAAATTTTTCTACCCACAGTTTGGAATTGAATTATTATCTAATTAACATAAATTCAAAGCAATTGCTTTGATAAGAATCCTGTTATGTAAAACGAATCATAATTTCAACTGAAAACAAATTAAATATAGATCAAAGGATTTTTTGAGCAAACTTTCAAAATAGTTTTCACCTATCACACTACCTTATTCATTTCATTGTTTACAATCAATAATTTAATTTAGATAAAGATTATTTAATTCATTTTTTTTTATTGAAGATTTTTTCTTCAATTCATAAGTCATATACGATTTTTAAAATAGCTGTTAAATTAAAAGATCTTTTTTTTTTATTTTGCTAGAAAATCCTATTGTCATAATTTTTATTTGTTAGTGAAAAATAATTATTTTAAATCTTTCCATGAAATTAAAAAAATAAATTGAATTCCATTAGAGTATTTTTTAGCTGGAAGTACACTAATCAAGTCATTTTTTTTTAAATTTGGAGGAAATTTAATTAAACAACAAGAAAATGATAAATTATCTGCCCTGTTCTTGCAGCTTGTGTCATCGCTCAATCATCGGGTGTCAAAACTACGAAGCAAGCTAAAATGTTTTTTTTTTATAATATCTTGAATCTGTTGAGATGCGATTATAGTTGAAATACTAGAATAATTTTTTAATAATTTGAAATCTTAATGCGTAAAAAAAGGGATTTATTTCTTTGTTATTTAATAACTAATATCAAACTTTAGAATTAAACTTATATTTGTCTAGTTTTATTAGAGAATGTTATCTTTTAAAGAATATGATTTAAATTCTTCTGTATTTGAAGCTCTTTTAATAGTTAAACAAATTTGAATTTGAGAATATTAAATTGTTTTGAAAATACTGTTTATAATAACGATCTCACTCTTAGTTTAGTAAAGAATAATAGATGGAAAATTTTACTACAAAGAAAAAGATAAACTGACATTTTGATTTTGTTTAAATATTAAATTAATTAACGCTTTAATGATATATTTGTTAAACTAAGAAAGATCTTCAAATATAATGTGATTAAAATTAAATATTATTTAGATAAACTAAACAAATTCATGCAAGAACAAAGCGAAAAACATTGTCTTAAAGTTTTTACTTTATGAATTTGAGCTTTTATAAAAGTATTTTTGTAAGTCAAATTATGGAAAATAATAATTTGGAAAAATAATTAATGAAAAATTTTACTACAAAAAAGAGTAATTGATATTTTGATTTTGTTTAGATATTAAATTAATTAGCACTTTAACGATATATTTGTTAAACTAAGAAAAATCTTCCATTATAATGTGATTCAAATTAAATATTATTTGGACAAACTAAACGAACTCATGCTAGAACTAAGAGCAGAACATTATTTTAAAGTTTTTGTTTTATCAATTAGAGTTTTTATAGAAGTATTTTTGGAAGTTTCTTTTTATATATTTTCCCGAAGTTTATTTTTATATATTACTATAAAAAGGGAAAAAATATTGTTTTTACAAAATTACGATACACAGCAAATAAAATTGGCTTCTAGCATGTTCTGAAATTGATATTAAAAATTTTATCTAATTTATTTTTTTTAACCCTTGGTGGGTAATAATGTGAAAAAAAAAAGTGAAATTTCGGTTTAAATTCATTGATTTCCGGTTTAAAATCAATACCCTTATTTTTAAAAGTAGCAACTACATAAATAAATCAAATACGATTAAGTATATGACTTTTTTTTTTATATCAGATTGAGAAGATCCTCACATCCTCAATTTTTGCAGTTCATGTTATTTACAAACATTTAGAGTTTTTAGTGTTTTAGATCTTTAGAGTTTTAAACTTTTAGGTTTGCGAAGAAGTAGGAAGAATATTCTAAGCGAAGGAATTAAATTTAGAAATTTACTACAATTTTAATCAATTGAGTGAAACACAATGAAAATGAATGTAAGGAAACGCAAAATTACGAAATATTTACGAATTTCTTAACAAATTGCAAAAAGTTTAGCTAGATGAAAATGAATTGAAATGCAATAATTTCTGATGCCCCCGATCACAGTTAATGTTGATTTTAATAGTAAGTTATCAGGAAAGGAAGTAAGGGAGCATGATAGACATGTGGTCCAAAGAAGGCGCATTCTTTTGAAGAGCGTGCAAGATTTCTTAAAATAACACAAGATCTTTTCAGGTTTAGAAAGAAAAAGAAGTAACCGGTGGTTACCTACACATTGCTTAATAGAAGTAAGATGTTGAAATTATAGCACTGAAATGATGTTTGTTTTTCGTTTTTCTGTATTGAATACCGATTGAAATCTGATTGATACATTTACGTATAATATTGCTCAGTTAAAAAGCAGAAAAATATATAACAATAAATAAAGTGTTTGTCGTATCATTGAGAGGTTAGCAATTTTTAACTTATTAAAAACATACAACTTTTGTATCCTTAATATTAACTATTTGACGGTGACGTGGAAACTTGCCATAATAACGAAAATAGTGTAATGTCGTAATATGATGTACTCGAGCTTTTACTGTATTTTATTTAAAATTATTTATTTAGCTAAGTTGTGTTGTATTCATTTTAAAATAATATCCTCCTGATAAATTTCATAGAAACACTACATTCTTAGAAAGCATTGGACCATAATATGTATGCTTTGAATCATAATACGGTTCAAATTTGCTGCATACTTAATAAGGTGCTAAATTACACCACTTTTGTGTTCAAGTTTACTCATAGTATATAGTGAATGCTCGAGAAGTATGATTTATGGTTCTACTTATTATGGTTAAAGCAAATTTGACATTTATTAGGGTTAAGTTCGCTCCAAAATTTCTAGCAGTGCACCAAAGAACACAAATGACTCAAATAAGCTACACATTTTTGTACAAATAAACATTTATTGTCTACCAACATTTTTCAATCGTAGATAATGTAGTGACTACATTTAAAATTATATTAGCACCATGTGCCACTAATTATTTTGCAACAATTTTATTGTTTTTTCAACCGGAATGAAAAATGAAAAATCACAATTGACAATTTTCATAAAGAACATAATTTTTTTTTCAAAAAGAACGAACAAATATGATTTTATGAAATAATTCATCAAAGAATTAAGCTAAAAACTATCTAAATGAAATACAAAAACACAAAATATCTAAAATATATAAAAACTACAAAAGAAAAAAGAAAAAATAAGTAAATATAAAAGGACTCCACTAATGTCTTAGTTGAGTACGCCTTAAGACTAGAATGATGCAAATTTCATTAGAGGCCTTGCTTCATTTTTCTAACCTCACCTCATGAACTAAGTTCTAAAAAATCGAACAAAAAATAAAATAAAACTTAAAACTTCCCTTCTGAAAAATAAACAATATAGTTTTGTTTTGATAGAATAATTCTTTGTCTAAGTCTTTCTGAAGTCATTATCAGGTTATAAAATAATCTGTATATAAGATACCTATTTGTGTAGGAAATCTATTAATTGGTACTCTGTCCTCTAGCCTGTGTTTCAATTAATTTATTTAAAAACAAGATGTAAATAAACATGAGTTGTTAATGTACAGTAAATTTATCTGATATGTTTCATTTTGAACAGTTATTTCGAATCAGTGAATCAATAACTATGTTAATGTTATAAAATAGCATTTATTTTAGTTGCAGTTTTCTTGACCAGCTGACCAAATGAAATAAAATGTTGGAAATATTACGGAGAAAAAATAGACTTTTTTTTTATTAGTATGCTACATTTTTTATTATTTCTGTTTAATATTTATTAAAAAGATTTCTTAAAGTTAAATTTATCATGTCTAGGAAAAAATAGGCTGAAATTTTTTTCCCGGTTTAATCAGATTTCATAAGAATGAAACAAGTTTCCATCTAAAATATTGATTTAAAATCGATACTTAATTAAATTAGTTTCATAGTTTTTTTTCAAACTGAAAATTAATTTGTTCGAATTTAATTAAGTAGAAGCCATGTTTTAGTAATCAACTCTTTAGCTATCATGCCTGGGGAAAAACGTGTTAAAAGTTTCTCCAGTTTTATTAGATTTATATATAAAATAAGCTTCCATCGAAAATATTAGTTTAAAACCAATACTAACTAAAACTATGTTAATGATTTTTTTCAAACTCAAAATCAATTTGTTTGAATTTAATTAAGTAGACGCAACGTTTTGGTAATTAAAAAATATGAATGCTCAATACATGTTTGCATTAAATCAAAATATTTCAATTAACTATTTTCAATATATCTGATCTAATTTGATCAATGCTTTTAATGATAACATAAAAATTATTATCATTTAAAAGAATAACTAAAGAAAAGATAAGGAATCATTTGTACAATAGCTGCAAATATTTTATCCTAGGTTGTTTACATTTGAATTTGATTGCGCTCTTATTTCTTTGCTTAATATCATCGTTATTTTTGTTGAATTTTCGGTTTAATATTTTTGTTAATTTGTTACGTTTACTGTTTGTGTTGCCAGTTTTAAAGCAATTGAACGTGGAACCCGGGTATTATACCCGAAAGGATTACGAAATTTTGGACATATCCCGAGTAAAAGATGCTTCAAGAAAATCCAGTAACTTCGCTAAAAAACAGCGAAGAATTCTTAATTGTTGTAAGGCAGTGTACATATAAATACTTTAACCTTTAAGAAAAAAAATTTGAAAGCATTAAAATATTTTAAATGGGATTAAAAAATGCTATAATATTTTTTTTAAAACATTTTTTGGTCTGAAATAACTATTTATTTTCAATTTCTCAATACTATGTTCAAAGAAGCTTCAATGATACATAACTGTCAAAATAATGCAGTATGACTCCAAGCATATTTTAAGTGAATAAATCAGAGATATTTGAACTTGGATTATTTGCTTGATTTAAAAATTGAAATAGTATGATAGAAAAAAGAAGCCTATCTTTGAAATGTGAATAAATAAAAACTCAGTGATTTTTAAATGATTTTTCTAATTGCTTATAATTTGTCATGGTTAACTACATAATTTCAAGGAATACCTAAAAAAATATTTTGTACATGATAATATGACATCATGCTTTTTAATATTTATGTAATTTAATCAGTTTCTCTTAATTACTTACATAGTTGTAAGTTACGCAATCGTAAATAATTCTAAGTATTTTAACTCAAAAAATGCTTAATTTAATAATTGCTTCCAAATTAAATAATGCAATTCCTATGTTTGTCATATAACCTACAAAGTTTCTCATAATAAAGTTTTTGAAAATGCCTTTTTATTTTAGATAATGAATTTTGTAAAATTGTTTTGCAAGTATTAAAACTTAGTGTTAACTTAGTGTAAAAAATTGTATTATTCATATAACTGAATACTTATAAAAAATTAAATTCCTTAACTTAAAGAGAACGAATTTTGACCATGGTCAAACTAATTAGCATAATGAATGCAGTCCTTGCAATTGTTAAAAAACTCAAACAAAATGTAGCCTACCCAAAACAACAAAAAGTTTAATCTAAAACTTAGAAGCAACTATTTATGCATGAAAATATTATTAGCATAAAGAAATTAAAAACAACTGTTAAAACTTATTTTCAGGAATATTTGTTATACTTTTCTTAAAAAAATTCGTCGAGTGGATTTTATATTTTGATTTTTTTTTCTCCACTATAATGTTTAGTTTTTCAACTCTTTCTCTCTCCTTTCAAAATACATTTTTTACAGGGACTTATGTGGTATCATTGTTCTACCACCAACGCTGCTGATGAAATAAATGCGGATTATAACTTGGCATCATATTATTCATGTTATAGGAACTAATATATGAGTTCGTGACACAGTTATTGGTGGCAGCTGTTAATGAAGTTATGGAAGGCAAATCATTACGAGGTAATCCAATGGACTGTGCTTCTTGTGGCATTGATGGTTGACAAGGTTTGCCATCTCGTACTAATACAGGCACAGCAACTCTTCTTGGCGATTGGAAGTTTATATCCACCCTATCTGCTCTCGCTCTCTTATGCTTATAGCGATGGTTTTGAAACCAAATCTTTACTTGAGTTGGTGTCAATCTTATAATGCTGGCCAGATGTTCTCTTTCTGGTGCTGACAGATACCGCTGTTGTCGGAATCGTCGTTCCAGTTCAAAAGTTTGACTTTTTGAAAACAATACTCGTCGTTTTCGTTTTTTCTGCGCGCTATCGGAATCACTTCCAGAAACATTTTGCATAGGCGCTGGTTCATCTCCTTTTTCAACAATGCTTTCTTCTGATGATGAAGAATATTCTTGATTCAAAGTAGTGTTAATGGATATAGATGGAGATGAAAAATTTTCTGGTACCTCTCCTCCAGAACTCACGTCAATTGGAAGATTGAAATCTAAAAGTAAAAAAAGAATGAAATTAGTAGTTGGGTAAATTATAATTTCGAAACAATGCTTAATTATTACACGATAATAATTGCAAGTTACAACTATTAAGAAGCCAAACCATCCTTTCTTGTCCAAACGTCTCAGCAATATGAAGATTAAATTTTTCAAGACGCTATATATAACGGAAGCATGCTAACAATAAGTATTGTTGTTAACTTGCAATTAACTTGTGCAATTAATACAGTTAACTTGTTGTTATCATGCTTAAGCATGCTAATAACCGGTCTTGTTTGATAGTTGCTTTCGATTATGCACTGTCTTAGTTTATGTTAATTTTCATTTTTTATTTTTTTCCTCATATTTACTACAATAATGCGTTTTCTAACATTCAATTTCTGAAATGTTATTAATTAACGTAATAAATTATAAAGTTTTCTGAATTTAATTGTTGCATTAATTGATGAAAAATATAATTTTAAAATATGTTCGAGATCTACAACATCTTGAAGGAAATAAGAAAATTAAAAAAAAGAAGAAGAAATCATCCTATTTTAGCAAAGTATACACGGATATGATAGATAAAAATCAAATATCCTAAGTTTTTATTTAAAAGAAGAAAAACGATCTGTTTTCAACCCCAAAAAGTGACAAGAACAAAGTATTCTAAGACAATATAAACTTTTCACAATATTCTTTTAAATTGTGAGTCATATGGAGCACATTTAAAAACGTTAAAAATTGCATTTTGAAATAAAAGAGTACTCTTAATTTAGAAAAGATGATACTAGGAGCAAAATAATTATGTCATATGATGAAAATAAACTGTTGATACGAAATTTCAGTGGATAAAATTACAAAAACTTAAATAACATTGATAATAATTCAGTTATTGGAAGCTATTTGTCGCAATTAAGTTTTTAATGGAAATATATATAAAAAGAATTTTAAAAAAATGTAAGGTAAAAAAAAACAACACATAAATATATTTCATAAAAAATAATTTTATGTAACAATGTATACTAAGAACAAATAATTAAAATTGATTTATTCAAATATTTATTTTTAGAATAATGCTGCATAAAAAATTGAATTTTTTTTAAAATTGCCAAACATTGGAGTTAAATATTCTAAATGTAATACAATTTTTGTACCGATAAAAATCAAATATGCAATAAATATTAAGAAAATGCTAATTAATGGAATAAAAATCAATTATTATAATTGATTTTTAGAATAACAAACTATATAGATCAATGGTTGGTGATTTATCAAAAAATAACATAGCCAAAAATAAAGCCAACCCCCCATAATCAATATTAAGTTTGAAAATACTTGGGCCATCGCGAATCGCCAACAAGACTGTGATAATTATTATAACCATGTAACTGAAACATATTTGTGGTAAGAAATTTAAGAATAAAGAGTTATAAATAGATTTTTGTTTTCGATTATGCGCGCCAGTGAATTAATGAATCTACATTAGCATTGAAATAAAAAGTTAGCAGATCGATAAGAAAAGAATAAAATATATTATGTTCGCTTTTAATAAAAATTAGCTAATAGATTTAATTTAAATATAATTCGATTAAGAATTATTAAAAAGAATAAGTTTAAGTAATCAAGAAATTTTAAAAGCTAGAATATATATGTAATGCCCAATTTGGCATCATAATGACTCCAACCAGCTCTTACATAATATTTTAGTAATTTGATAATAAAGTAATTTGATCTGTATGAAACTAAAATATGTAATATCAAAATAGTTTCTTTTTATAGAAAAAAATTATAAACTTTTACATTTGCTATATTTGCTATATTAAAATAAATTTAAATCAATTCTTATAAGATAAAGCTAGGAGAGATTCTTCAGTTGGAGAGATAAAAAAACAAATTGGAGGGGGGAAAGTACAGCATGTTGGCTTCTATTCAAAGTATTAGTACAACAGCAGTATTTCAGTGTGTACTTGATTGTCAAAAATAAAAAACAACTAGTTTGTTTTGTTTTTCCAAAACAAGTGCCTACATTTTCATTGCTCTTCCTCTTAATTTTTTACTGAATAAGAAATTAAAATTAACTGATTTCTCACGGGCTACGGATCTTGGCTAATGGTGTATACACCAATGGTTCTTTCTTAAAATCGTCATGTCTAAGTAAGGATAAAAACTTTTTTTTTTTTTACTAAAATGGGAGAGATTGAAATTCAAGAAAAATCAAACTTTGGTCCTATGCTGGGAGATATTAGGCATTGTTCCTATGTTTTTTAGACAAAAATCTCAAAATTAATATTGTTTACCATTTAATTGTAATTATTATTAATAACAATCTAATTCCGTAAGGACTGATTAAACAAAAGAGATTTCATGGTTTCAATTCAACTATTTTTCAAAATTAAAGCATAAAAGCAAAATAATAATTAAAATACATAAAAAAAAAACAAATGTAGTCAACATCTTTAATGATTCTTTTAGCGAAAAATTAATATTTACAATTTCTTGAATTGTTTTGTTGAAATGTGTGGAAACTCACCTAGCTTCGCCAAAATTTTTATTGCTAAGCAATTGTATTGATAATTTTTAATTTCCTTCATTTAGTCCAGCTTTTTCCCCCATTTTTTCTGTTTTTCTCACGTTTCTTTTAGTGAACTGGAGGAAACAGTTTTTGCGGGAAGAAATCTCCAAACTGGTCATAATATAAATAAAAGTAAGCGTTAGCTACATATATTGACTAAATCAGTAGTTTCGGGAATAAAAATTAAATACATAACAAAAAAATTACTTGAACTAATTAAAGTTAGTCAATAAGTTGCATTTTTGATCACAAAATGCATTCCAGAGCGTCACTAATTATCCATCAATAAAACTGTAGAGTGCCGTTAATAATCAAATCAGTTCAAATTATATTATTATTATTAGTTTACTACTTTTATAATGAGGAAATTTTTTTAAAACACCAATTGTGAAATATTATTTGGTTTCAATATGCTTTTATTTTTGATTCAAACTGCGAAAATCTTAAAATTTTTTATTAATTATATTCATTATAATTTCTTAAACAATTGCAGCATAATAAAATTGCTTTAAAACGAAAAAGTTGCCATAATTTTGTTGCGCGCACTATTACATGCCAGTTTTTAGTTTTGAAAGCGAAAAATCTCAAATTAAAGTAACGGGGCTACGCCTGAAAACGGCAAGACCAATTGCAAGATTAAATGGAAGGTCTTGAAATTTCATTAAAATGTTTTAAGAAATACAGAAAACTGTGGGACGACCTAGATATTCCAGGATGACCACTATCTCTTACTTAAGGAGACATGCTACTTAATATCAAAACAACAATACAGTTTCAATCAGCTTATGAAGTTAAGAGGGAACTAAATATAAATGCTTCTTCGTAACTATCCCATATTGTTAAGAGCATGGTGCAGATACTTAAAGGAAATGTCCTAGTAGAAATTAACTTGCGAATGTCAAGGATCGGAGTTCTCTGGAATACAGTCAAAGATTCAAGCTAAATAGGCTTTTTTTCCCTTCTAGTTCAAGAGTTGTTCTCTAATTATTGTTTTTTTTCATATGCTTATCAATTTACTGTTTTTCTTAAACAGCTGCTGTTTATCATTAATAAGACCAACTTCCTTGTTCTGATGGCTACAGTTTTTATTGACATAATTTGAAAAAGAAAGAAACCCGCTGAGTACTTCTCAAACTGATAGTTTAGTGGAGGCAGTTTCCTAGTATGGGAACTTCCAGTGTTCAACGAATTTGCTCTCAATAAATAGTGACATATAGAATTTTAGTCTTACTTGTCCAATAATTTGTGGACAAAATAACCCATTAGTCTATTCACCTAACTCATTAAAACCACATTAATCTTCAGTCAAGAGGAGTGAGGTCATCAATCAATGTATTCAATAATAGGCCATATCTATAGGATTATGCTGCTGCTGCTTTCGGGTGTTTTGCCTTATTTGCAAAGATTTCGAAGCAATCACTGAGTTTTTATTAACTTTTTTGAAATTTTATTTTGATGGTGACGCATTTGGTCATGCAAGCTAAATTAAAAAACTATGGTAGAAAGTTGAATTGCCTTTATAGTCGGTTTTTATTATAAAGATGTTAAAAAAATAGAACGAATTACAATTCTATTACTGTAGTTTGGAAAATATTTAACGGAATTAATGGTACTCAGTGCAATTAAATTTAATGACTAATTTGTTTTAAAAACAATAATTACAACGTTTATGATATTTTTTTAATTTATTATTTCATGCTTATGTTTAAAAGTTCTTTACCACCGAAGCTCATGAGATCAAAAATTTTTCGACTAAGATTATGAAATGTTCACATAACAGCGTTTGATAAAATTTTGGAATACAGATATTTAAAAATATAATAAATACATTTTTATTTCAATAACTGATAACTACTTCAAAAAACTATCAAAATTCAAAAAAAAATTTACATAACTCTCTTTTTTCCAATAAAATAAACAGACATTAATACATACAATAGGTTTGCTACCAAATTATTCAACAGTATGATTTCACAAATAAAGAAAGGATTTTTTTAATAAAAAAATTTCTTCTAGAAATCATTTAAAAAATTCATTTATTTTTCGATATCGTTTACTAAAAGTAATTTTTTACAGTAAATACTTCATAACGCCAAATTAATTCAATGCTAAAAAAATATGCTAAAAAGTAAGTAGGTCAGAAATGCATAAAGATTATAGATTAAAACGAATTACTCCAATGTTTAAAATACTTTCATTTTCTTGCAGACAAGTTTAACGAACAAAGTTAAGTATACGAGGTTTTTTAATCAGGCCAACATTGTTATGTATCGTAAATAATAAAAGTTTCGAACCTAGTAACCTCTATTTGACATTGATGAAGTTTTAGAATTTGAATTGAATTTGAAATGAAATTACTCTATAAAATTGACCATATTTTTATTTAATTAAATTTGTATGAAATGCAATAAACAGCAAAATATACAAAGAGTACATAGA